GAATGAGAGCAAGGCACCTTCTGTGGGTGCCCCTTCTGGTGCCCTTTTCCCCCCTCTCCAGAACCTGATGTGAAGAGAACATGGCGTCCATCTTTCTTTGTCTATCTGGGACTGTTCAATATTTTAAAAATGAGACTAGCATCTCCCTCCCACTCTCCTTATAATCCTTATAAACCTGTTATCCATCACCAAAGATAGCGTCAATTCATGGGCAGACGGCCCTGCTCTTGGGGTAGAAGCAAATCCCTTAAGCTTTTTCTCTAGCTGTTTGGTGTTTCTTTCCCAGTGATTCAGCTTAGCCTCCACCAGCGCATCTGCTGAGTCCTTACACTGCACCGAGGTCAGGAGGAGGTGGCCATCATGTTAGTTTTCCCCACATGTAGATTCCACAAACATGGCCTTACATGTCTGGCCCCTTGATGTAGGGTTTGTGGTACAACCGAAAGACTATAAGTGGAATAGAAGGGTTTAAAGCCATTGCAGGCTCCCCAAACTAAAATGGTGTGGGAAATTTGGAAAATCAAAAAAAGTGGACCCAGGTATTTGGGAACTTCCTGGAACCCAAGTTCTACTCAATTGATGGGAAGACTTGGAGACATGGAACCAATCATTAAGAGGCCACAGTGAAGTGAGCTTCAAACACAAGCAGACAAGGGGCATGGTGGACATGGTACAATGTGACAGAGAAAGAGGGAGAGGGAGAGGGAGAGAAAGAGGGAGAGATTTCTCTGCCTTGTCTTGGCAATGTGACCTAATCCAAGGAGACATTCAGCAGAAGCGTGGACTTGATCTGGCTGTGTGGCTAATACACACAGGTTAGTAAGTGACTGAATAGGGAGGGATTCCTATCTCATTTAATTCACCCAATTATAAGCCAGTCATTGAACATGCACATTAATGCTACAGCATCTTAATAGAAGATTACGTGGAATAAAGTCAAACCAGCCCCTGGGGAAGCAGGAACGTTCTGGAATTCTCCACCTAGTCCCTAGCCACCTCTGAGGACTTGATAGCTACTTTAGAAGCATAGTGGCTGGGATGCCTAGCCAGCTGCAGAGCCTTCATTTTTATTTCTGCCTTTAGTGGTTCTTACATTTCAGTTTGTATAAGAATTGTTACACTGGGCTGTCTACAGGCATTCGTGTAGCTTATACTTACTGGGCAATTAAGTATTACATGGGTGATTTTGACAGCTCAAGACTTGGTTCCACCGAAGTTAGTCCTGGTGGGGAGTGACTGCTCAGTAACCAAGCATTTAACTGTGTGCCAGGATCTGTCACTGAGTGGGAGCAGGGTGGGAGTCTCCCCCTTCCAGCACTTCAGGGGCGGCAGGGAGAAGTTGACTGCAAGACCGAGTGCCACTGGTGCTGTCTGCAGAAGCAGAGAACACAAGGAGATTTAATTTTCTGGGTGCAGAGGTTCGGGTTCATTACCATCTCTTCCTGGGCTGTACAGGCACTGGGGCCTAGTGAGGCCATCTGCCCTGTGACTGTTCCGGGTTGGTGGCCCTGACCATCAGGGACTTGCCCGGAGGTCTGTGAGCTCTCAGCATCACAGCAGTTTCCACTGTCTTAACTGGAGGGAATGGAAGAGGCCGGGATGCTGCCTGCTCTCCATAATGCCTACGGTTGTGGCCCCAGCTGCTAACTGTGCCCGATCTGGGACCTTTCTCCCCTGTATTCCATCAGAAGCAACAGGGCCAGTGGCTGGAAGCCTTTGGAGCTAGCTGTTCCCTTGTGGAAACACACATCCTTGAGGACAGAGCGCAGAGTAAGAAGCGGATGGATTATTCATTCTGCACAGGGGCATCTCTTTCCACCTCCATGAGCCTCCTCGCCACCGGGTTCTGCCTCTGACAGCACAGAGTGGGAGGAGACTCCCCGGGGGAATCCCAGCCTCTTTGTTCCCCCAGTGGCTACTTTGTACAGGCAACTGACTCTTGTTCTCCTGGGAGACGAGAGGAGCCATGTATTGTATTGTCACCTGCACGGCAGGTTTTCCCTGAAAGGACTTCCAGAAATAAATACCAGCCAGAGAGGCGGGAAAACAACCTTGGCTTTTGATTCCTAGAAGGTAAGATGACCCCTCTTTGGTGTAATTCTAAGTGTGTTTTTATGCAGAGGTGTGAGACAGTGCTCAGAATGCATTTTTCCTTCTACTATCTATTCTCTTGACCCCTAGGACCCTGTGTTCTTTGTTGTGAAGATCATCACCTGATACTAGGACACGGTCTGTGTTCACATCAGAGCCCGCTTCCACAATTTCTAATCCAGGGGGCAGAATTGACTTTGTATAGAATTGTTCCTTGTTCTTCAAGTTCTCAAGTATTCAGGCAGGGTGGAGTGTGAAGAGAAAGCCCTATTGTTTGCGCATGCCTGCACTTAGGAGGTACCCTAACTATTGAAAAGGTTCCTCTTCTTGGGTAGTCAACTTCAAGTTTGGGGAGTCAGAAACAAAACGGCATTTGGCACTGTCATGTTGAAACCATTCATTCTTTCTGGAGGATTCCGTCCTAGAAGATTCCACTTACTCAGATCGAATGCGGAATGTTCAGGCTTTCGGTGTTTGTCAAGGGCTCCCTGGAAAGTTGCACCCATTTCTGACCTTAGTAGATGTGCATGAATACGATCTTCATTCTCCAGAAGTCACAAACCAGCGGCTGTGGTAGAATGTATCAGAGCGCAGGAGAATGGGGAAGGATCCCAACAAGATGTGACCCAACCACTCTCTTAGCTTCTTCTCTTACAACTTTTGCCTTCACTTTCTTGGCTTTAGGACCACACCAATTTCAGAAGCAGAGCAGGCATTTCCCTGCCTCAGAGCCTTTGTACTTGCTGTGCTCTTGTCCAGTTGTCCACAGACCCCAGTTCCTCAGCCGTCACAGGTTTTTTACTCAAATGCTGCTTTCTCAGTGAGGCTTTCCCTAGATTTCTTGTATAAAACTGTCCTCCTCCGTTCCCCATCACCCCACTCCACACTGACATACTCAAGTTCTCTGGAGTCTCCTTCCCCTCTTTATTTTCCCCTGTGTCTCTCGTGGCTATCTAAAAATCTACATTTGGTGCTGCTGTCTTCCCGACATGGAAAACAGACCCGGGTTAGAGTAGAGGCTCAATAATTATTTGTTTACGGAGCGATTCTACCACTGTTTTGTAGATCCGCCCTTACTGGCTATCACTGATTATCTCCCAGCAGGCTTTCCCTAATCATCCCTGGCGGAAGGAGCAGCAGTTTTGTTTGGGTTCATTGCCTTCACTTGTCAGCCCTGCCTGAGTTAGTTATCTGTGTAAGTGCCGCTTTCACAGGGGCTCCCATTATTAACTCCGCTGTCTGTCGCGTCTCTGATGTCCAGCTGCCACTGAGATCTGGGACAGAAACTGACAAGGTATACGCTGGTCTGAAAAAGAGCAGGTTGCACGTGCTTGATTGAAATTGTCCCGCAGCGCTCAGCTTCTTTAAAGACCAACAGCCCAGCTGAACAGGGCAAAAGGTTCGGGTGCTTCAGGAAAAGTAACTGTGGCTTTTTCTCTTTACATTGACCCTGACTCGCTCATCAGAAAAATACACTTTGAAAGTACATTGAGATATATGCTTCTTAGCCCATGGCACTTGCAAACCTTCTGTCTGTTAGCCAGGCTGTAGGTACCCAGCGACCTCATACACGGAGGGAGGAGGAACGTGAATTGAAACCGTGCAATGGGATGTTTGGAAATGGCTATCAGAATGTAAGACTGCGCATGCTCTTTGACCCAGCAGTTGAACTTCCTGTGAAATGTGTTGTAAGGGTATTCTTTCACATGTGCAGAATAATGTATGCAGAAGATTATGCTTCACAGTCTTACCTGTAATAGCCAAGGGGAGGAATTACTGAAACAACTCACAGCAGAGAGCTGGTTCTCTACAAGGAACTACCACCATGCAGCTGCAAAAAGAATGAGGATGCTCTATTTGTAGTAACTTACAAAGATATGGCAAGTAGGGAGAAGAGGATATAGAATATGCTGCCTTGTCTGTAAAGAAAGGGGAAAATGTAATACGTATTTCTGTGTTTGGCCTCTGTACCAGAAGACTTCTGGAGGGATGCGTAGGAAATCAATAACTTTGGATCTTCGGATAATTGGTGATGGCGGCTGGGGAGGTTGAAATGGATATTAGGTGGGTGTGTGATTGTATCTCGTACATCTTTGTACATACATGTACATGCAGTTTGGCCATCTGTTTTAGCTGTTTAAAAAATTAAAGAAATAGGAGAGGTGGAACGGGATAATCCTTACTTCCCTTGTGTGAGCCACACTACTCATTCAAATGGGAGTTGCAGGTGTTTTCTGAATGCCAACCTGTGCTCCTGTGTGCATTCAGACCCTGGAGAATGCATTGTGTGACCAGGCCGTGGGGAGCGAGTGTGTGTGTGTGTGTGTGTGTGTGTGTGTGTGTGTGAGCTCTTGGGGGATTTCTCCTTCCTCATGACATCCTGGTTGCCATAGTGTGGAGGTCTGTTTGTGACACACAGAGAATGCTTTAAATAAAAGCTGCTTCCTGCCCCTGACTTCCTGGGCAGTCTGTCCTTCCGGAGACTGTTGGGGCTAGGCGTTCACAGTGTCTGGACAGAGAGAACCCTGCTCATTCAGACCCAGGTTGCCGTCCAAAGCAGAAACGTGGTAAGGGGCCGCCTGCTTCCCATGGAGAAGTTGCACAAGCTGAACGCTCAGCACTCTGAATCCAGGGTGTTGGCAGGGCCCCCTCTTGTTTCTTCTTTCCTGGGGAGCCTGTGGTGCCACTGCTGTGCTGCCGGGTGTCTTCAGCACCGAGGCGCCAAAGGGACCGTTTCTTGTACCCAAACCACCAGTGAAAACAGGAAGTGATGAAGCAGAATTTGCCCTGCCTCTGTACTGAGCAACTTCTCTTTCTCTTTGTCATTGCTCATTAGGCGTAGGTACGTGTGGCTGTCCACACCGTAGGAGCCCAGATCCCACCAGCTTTGGACTTCTCTGGGGCTCACCATGCCGCCACCCGTGGACATCGTGAAGGTGGCCATAGAATGGCCAGGTGCCTACCCGAAGCTCATGGAGATCGATCAGGTTAGTGACACAGACGGCACTGGCATGGTTGTTTTCCTCTCTAGCCTGGAATGTTTATAGACTTTGCATTGCCCTTTCGCCTTTTCTTTCACCGGCTGTGTAGAAAATCTGTACAATAATAGTTACCCTGTAGTTTGCTTTCAGTACCACATACAGTGGTGATGGATGGCGTATTTATCTCTCCCAGAATAGGCTTGGCTTGTGTCAGTGCAGGATTTGTGTCTGAAGCAGGGAAGAAGGCAGGAGGAATAAGTGATTAGACACACAGCAGTTGACATGGTGGAGTCCACCCCAGCCCTGCCTCCCAGAATACAGTATGTGTAGATTTTTTTAAATGTAGGCCACATAAAACTTTAAGTTTTCGAATCATTTTTCTCTTTGCTTTTTTTTTTTGCAGAAGCAGTCAGCAGGTACTTTGTTAAATTAACAGCTTCATAATGAAATGAGCATCAGGGGCTCAGTCGTGGATCCCAGCCAGTTATAGTTTTATTACGGGTATACAGTTCGCCATGTGTCTAGCGTATTGTCTGGCACGTGATACACCCTCAGTAAATGTTTATTAAATGAAGAAATATCAAGAAGTTTAGAAGAATTATTTTAAGCGTAAGGGCATGCTTTCACTTGGACCTTGATAATTGACTGGTATGGTTCTCATTACTATTTGATTATAGGTTGTGACAAGAAGATTATTTTATACCTACTCTACTGTAGTCACTCTAGAGCAAACGACTGAAGGAAAAAAGGGTCAAGACTAAATATACTATTATCCATTTCAAAAAAGCATATAATACAGATTCTAGATGACTGTCTACGTTTTCAAAATTAGAATACTGTGGCAACTCCAACCTTTGTGTTCTTGATACTACTTTATAATTATGCTTCATAGTTTTTTTTTTTTTTCCTGGTCAGATTGTATTACCTAGTTGAAGACCACTGTGAATCCAAAGGAATCGTTAAAACAAACTAGAGAGGTCAAACCAGAATTAGCTCAGCTTAAACTTGAATGAAAGTTTAGGGAACTGTTGTTAAAAGAAAAGAGTCACCAGACCATGCTTGCTGCCATTTAAACTGACCCTTGAGGTGTTTTTGTCTGTGACTCTAGAAGCAGTGCTTGCAGATAAAGTAGCTACACCCAGTAGTTTCACATGATATTTGTCAGACAACAGATACCCTTCCTCATATACGGTTTGGTAGTTAGAGTTTACCTTAAAAAGTGTCTAGGGGTACTTGGTGTAGAAAAATAAAGTTAAGATGAAATTTGGTCAATGTCTTTAGGTGTGATTAAAATAATGAAGGCTGCTGCCCAGTGTCATCCGCATGAGAGGCAGGCTCATAAAAACGAGAGACGTGTCCTTATCTACTTTATTCTCTTCATCTGGCTTTGTGTGACTTCTGGCTGTTCCCCAAAGTCAAAATGAGCACAGAATGTCAACATTTGGAATACATTGAGGACATTGAGGCAGCCATGATGGTGCGAGAGACACAAAAGAGGACTTGCAGAGCAGCTTCAGAAAGTGGCAAGCATGGTGGGCTAAGTGTGTTCAAAATGAGGAGGATTTGGAGGGGGATTATTGGCAAAGTAGTTTTTACTGTAAGACATTTTTTAAAATTTCAATATACAACGTGTTTTCTGATCACACATTGTAAGAGAACCATGACTTCTACCAGACAAAACTTGGTCTTTCTCCCACACACAGCCATCCTGAGCCCTGGGAGCTCCACATGGGTGGACCCAGGCCCCTGTGATGTGTTGCTTTGTCCTGCACAGTATATGGGGCTAAGGAATGATGCTTAAACTTACGTGGGTGCTTATTGGTAATACAGAATCTCAGGTCTTAGGTAGAGCCCTTGATTCAGAGCCAATTTTTAAGAAGATTCCAGGGGGATCCTTGTGCATAGCTAAGTCTGTGTGTGTGTGTGTGTGCTGCTGTCCCAGCTTGGTTGCTCATCAGAACTGCCTGGGGCACTTGTTTAAATAAATGTTCCTGGTGGATCCATTGTAAGAGAGTCCAGTTCAGTGGTTCTGAGGAACTGTTTAATTTTGGTTCAACCATGGTCAGTGGAATTTTGAAACCTCTGCTTTAAGCCAGCCTCTTTGCTTTCTTTTTGCAGTGCTGGGGATTAAATCTCAGGGCATTACAAATGCTAGGGAAGCTCTCTGCTTTTGAGGATGGCCATAGCTGCATGTGCATTAATAATTTTTTAAAATAATATTTCTACTGTGGAATAATATTAAATTTATAGAAAATTGCCAAATTTGATACCTTTACATTTATTCTTCTGTTTCCTCTAATCTAATAAATCTAATCTAATCTTTTTTTTTCTTTTTATTGAGTTTATTGGTACAATCTAGGTATACAATACAGTTACATTCACTATTTCCGTTTTTTCATTTTCTCATATTTTTTCTTTTCCCTTATTACCTTTCCCCTACCCTTCCCACTTTCCCTACACCTTTAGCCCCTTTCTTGCTATCTCACATTATTAATTATCCCATTAGGATCTTGTGAAACTATAAACTGTAATCTAATCTAATCTTAATAAATCTTCCTGCATTTCTCAAAACTAAGAAATAGACATTGTAAAGCTTGGCAGGATGTAAAGTTTGGCACACCTCTGATCCCAGTACTCTGGGAGGCTGAAGCAGGAAGATCTCAAGTTTAAATCCATCCTTGGTGGTTTATTGAGATTCTGTCTCAAAATAAAAGATAAAAAGAACTAGAACACAGGTGAGTGTGAAGGCCCTGGGTTCAATTCCCAGTACCAGGAGAAAAGAAGGGAAAAAGAATAATGAACTTAAACATTACCCCAATATATGAATTAACTACAAACTTCTTTTGGATTCACCTGTCTTTCATGAATGTCCCTCTTTTTCCTCCAGGATTCAATCTGGGAATATCAACCGCCTTGTATTTAGTTGTCTTATTTCTTTGGTACCCTCCGCCAACTTTTGACAGTTTCTGTGCCATCCCTTCTTTTTCATGGCTGGACAGTGTTGAGGGAGTTATTTCATATGAATAGAATTTTCATCATAGAGAAGGTACAAGAGTAGTTCAAAGAATTGCTTACCTCCACCTTTTCTGAACAAGTTGTGGAAGTGTCAGGGAAGAAACCGCTTCTCTTTGCCTTTAAATACTCCGAATGTATTTAAGGGAAAAACAATCATTTTTTTTTTTCTTAACTACATTACATTTAGAAAAACCAGGAAATGGAACACTGGTATAAGACTGAACTTCTCTTTGCCTTTAAATACTCCGAATGTATTTAAGGGAAAAACAATCATTTTTTTTTTCTTAACTACATTACATTTAGAAAAACCAGGAAATGGAACACTGGTATAAGACTGTCATCAAATTCATAGTTCATAGTCGTATTTCATCATCTGTCCCAATGAACTATATTCTCTGCGGGCTGATAGCCCATTCAGGGTCATGTATCTATTGTGGTGTCCCTTTGGTCTCCATTGATCTGGAACTATTCTTTGGTCCTTATATCCTGGAACATCTTTATGAAGTACAGGCCAGCTATTTTATGGGAAGTCCTTTGGGTTGGAGTTCGCTGATGCATCCTGCTAGATTGATTCGGATTTGGGGGTAGAAATGCCATAGAAATGAATTTATGTCCTCATCGCATCATCTCAGGAGGCACACGAGGCTTTCTTTCATTCTCGGTAATTATTCTGAGTTTACAGATGAGGATATTGCAGTCAGGAAACTTTCACAATTAGTCACTCAGTGACAGACCTGGAGAGAACCCTAGGCCCCCCCTTCCTCCATAAACTGAACTGAATAAAGATAAATTGGCTAAATTGTAGGCCACCTGCTGAGGCCCTACTGAGATAAAGATGAAGAATTAGGTCCCCAGACTCGTGTCACCCAGCAGTAGCTGAAGTTGTAATGAGACCTAGGGTGGCATTGACATCAGGCATTGCTTTTTTGATGGGATCAGAATGTAGCAGGGGACTTGCTGCTGCTTCCTCTTGGTCAGTGCAGATTCTAGGCAAGGATCGTGACTCTACGGCCTGCACTTTCTTCTGATCTTCTGCCTTGTTCAGCAAGCACTACATGATCCACCTCTCTCCCACTGCATGTCAGCTTGCTTTAGAAAGTGCTTGGCTTCTTTTGAACCTGGATAGCTATTGTTTCACTCAAAGGCTTTGCAGAAGTTGGCGTAGGCATTGCAGCGGTGTATTCTTTGGAACCTAGAGCATCCATCCACTTACCGCCCTGTGTAGCTACTTTACTGACTTGGTCCCCAACCTGGAGTGTGCGCAAGGATTGTAGGGAAGGTGCAGCCTCAGCCCCAGCTGCCTGGATTTTGATGCTGTGCCCCGGAGCAGGACCCTTTCTCTGCATCTGTGATAGCACCAGAAAGATCCTGGGCTGGGTCCCAACAGTTTGGGAAACAGTCTTTAGGCGCAGCGTGGCTTCAGGGTTGAGTGTTGTTTCCCCAGTGCTGAGTCAAGCAAGAGTCCTTGCTGCGTAGCCAGATGTTTCCTGAATGAATTGTGGACGAGGAGTCCAGCTCCTGAATGCGATGATTTCAGGGGGTGCTGGACTCTGCTCAACCACCACCCCCCGGGGGGGACTGGTTTATCTCCTTTGTCAATTCTAGGGGACAATTCTGTGGCAAAGCTCCTGGGAGCCTTTTGTAAGTACACTTTGCTGCACCGCACTGAAGAGTTGTCAGCTAGCCGGCCCCTGGCATCTGCTCAGGCCTGAGAGTCAGGGCCGCTTGAGACTGAGGGTGGTGTCGGTTGTCAGGGTGCAGGGGAGCTGAAAGGCTCCAGGGTTCTTGTCTCATTGTTTACTGAGCAGCAGTTTTCTCAGTCGGCTCCCTTCATCCTCTTTTCTCAATCACTCTTTGAAGGCTACACCTCTTCTTTTTTGTTTGTTTTTGGTACCTGGAGCTCGAACTCAAGACCTGGCTTTTGCCAGGATGCGCCTCTGAGCTACATCCCTGACCCCTTCTTTTAACTTTTAAAGGGAAGTGCTTCTTCA